AGGTCACGGTTTTCACTTTCTGCTACATGGGCGTGCGACACATGTTTTATGGCTTATTTTTCACGCCGAATCCGATGGTAATGGTTATATGTGACCCCAAGTCACTGTGCTGGTGATAAGTGTGCATTGAAAGCATAAAAAATCGTTTATACTATACATAACTAAACGAGGGCTAAGAAAAAAGGTCAATTTTTCAACTTTTTATTTTTGACATAAAAATGCACTTTTCTAGACGAGCTTTGTCCCAGGAATCTAGTGGTGCCATTTGTTTTCACATGCGATGTTCAGAAGTGCCTCTAATTCACGAAAATGCCTATGACGTCACCATGCCCTATGCATGTTGGAGCTATTTTTTACAATTTGGGGGTCAAAAATCAAGATAGAAAGTTGAAATTTGGGGCATCTAATGTTCTAATAGAGCTCTACAACATATATTCCGTTTTTTTGGAAATTCCCAAAATTTTGGATTTTATTAGCTGTTTTCCAAAAAATACAGTTTTTTTAATTTTTTAGGGGTGAAAAACGCATTTTATGGAAAATCCGAGATAGCCATTTTAAAGAACTCGTTGAGCTGCGTCTTTTGATGTCCTTAATTTGCAAATTGCTTCAAACCCTGATTTTTGGCGACTTTTTAAACATTTACCACTTTTTGACTAAAAACGCCATGTAGTTACGTCACTAAAATCGATATATCTAAAAAAAAAATGGAAATTTTTTCTTAAAAATTGCACAGGAGACGTCAAATTGATGGGGGAGAAGGTATGCCAAGTTTCAAGTAGATAGCGAAAGTGGTTCATGAGTTATTCAAGAAAAACGGAGGGGGGGTCGGATCCGGCCCCCCCCCCCAGGCGGTCGCGGGTTAAACGTCGAACCAGCTTAGAATATTCAGAATGATCAGAATCAAGGTAGGATCTACTGGAACGGAACCGGCCGTAGAAGGAAAGATGGATAGACTCTTGGACTCTGAACATTTATTTAAGCCGGAGTTGCACCTATCTCATCGTCAGGTAGGGTCAGGTCACTACCCGATTACCTATAAGATCATGTGTAAGCCTCTGCTTGACCCAAAAATATTGATATATTTGGCAGCGTCAATAAATGTTTCTGAGGAAGGCGCAGAAAGCAACAAAGTAGGATGAAGAGTCTCGGGCACGGTCGATTGCCTGAGGCATCGCTCCAGCGAAACGATCGTATTCGTGATTCGTGAAGCGGTGCGGGGCGCCGGGTGGGGCAGAAGCGTAATATGTCCTATGGTAGAAATGGCCTTTATCGCGGTGTCATGTGTGTGTTATATTGTTAAGACGTGCACAAAAAGAAATAGCAATGTGGCAGGCGGACGTTGGGCACTACACGAAAACGATCATCAATAAACACGTATCTTTTTTTGTAAAACTTAAGTAACAGTAGGTATGTCCTCAATGGTGAGGTAACTATCTCTAGGCTTTAACTTTTCATGTTTGCATTTCAACACACAAGCTCTGGGGGTAAAGTTAGTCTGGCGACCTCCTCAACCTAAGTCGATGATCAAATGGATTAGTCCTGAACAGGCGCGGATACAAGGGGGGGGGGGCCATGGGGGCCATGGCCCCCCCCCCCTTGGCCGATTTTTTTTTTCAAAAATAAAATAAAAAGTTAAAAAGTTAAAAAGCTGAAAAGGGGGCCTCCTGAAAATAAAGTGGCCGAAATCCGATGAGTTTTTTTTTTTAACCTACCCACTTAGTTATTTCTTAGAAGACTAGCTGAGAAGACTTCTTTGTTAGAAGATTGGTAAAGCTTTTCATAACTTGGAGGTCTCTTATACTCACAGAGATGACCACTTTTACAGGGCCTCCTAACCTGCATAGAGGGCCTCCAAGCCTGCACAGATGTTGAGATGTTGCCTGAACAGCTAGATAAGCTCAATAGACGCAGTTTTTTTTTGGGGGGGGGGGGCCAACAAGTGGGAAGATGGGGCCTCCAACAGGTGGGATTATGGGGGGGCCTCCTGGTTTCTAATGGCCCCTCCCTTGGAGATTTTCTGGATCCGCCCCTGGTCCTGAAGGTGTTCAATGCCTAGTTGCACCGGGATGATATAAATCGATCACGCCGGCATACATTGCTAATCAAATTTCATATATGAAACACATAAATTGCATCCTGTTAATGGTGATTCTGTTTTGCAATTTTGACGTAGTCTGACGCGATACATAATCTTACGCAATCATCTGAAATCAACAGCGTCTTTTATGCGCGTTTTTCACAAGCCCCGAATCTTGTGTGGAAATATATATTTTTGTGACTGAACAAGGTGTACGTACATTTGTGATAAATATAATTAGTCGAGGGCTTCAGCTGGTGCGTTACTTATGCGCGCTATTTAGCTCATTCGATGAAGTTACGGCTGCAACGACAACTGCACGGCAGCTGCGGTCCGCGACCCGCCCCGGTGCGACAGCACTGCCCCGCCCGCTCCACGCAGCCGACTGACCGGCCAAGGTCACTACCCCGTCCGCCGGGAGGGCGGAGCTTAATGGTCACGTGTTTGTGACGTCACACCTACGCACGGATAGCCTCTACTCCACTGACGGATTTACGGAGCCGATTTTAACATTACGAGGCAACGACAAGTACCCTAAAATTTGATATTTTGTTAAGAGACCATATTGACGAAAATTGGCGCTTGAGCTGAAATGTGCATCGTGAAAATTTGAAGCAAATTGGACAAAAAGTAAATAAATTATCGCCAAAAATTAGGGTCTCATGGGGTCTGAAATGCATAGTAGGGTAATAAAAGAACTGCAAACAAAACTAGCATTAGGATCTAACTTGATCAACCCTGCGCGATTATATGTTTTTCAAATAGCAGATCGTGCATACAGCTGTATGTCCGAGCCCCGTCACCAGTCAGAATTATAGCCCCAGCTGCGCCTGATCTTACCGTCACAGATACACTGTAATTTCCACGCAGCGACTAGCACAGAGTGCCGGGTCTGACGCAGGTCGATCGATATACGTCCAATCTGCGCCGTATTAATTCGTACGTATATGACGTGTCAGGCTGGATAACATGAGCCGCTCAAGCCTGCCCTGCTGTGCACAGACTGCAATGGCTGAGTCTTAACTGGGGCGGAACAGAGCTGAGGCGAGGCATTGAGCTTCCGGAGTGAAATATTCTGGCGCACGTGGGTAGGTAGGTATATGACGGTGACAGCGTTAAAATTGTTACGTAGTAAGGCGTAAAAATGGTGCCTGGGATTTTCACGCGCCGCGCTGAGATAACTGAATTAATCAACACGTGTCAGCGAATATTGTGATGACCATAAAAGGACGGTGCGGGGGTTAACTTGGCGATTAAGCTAATGTGACGAGTTTTAATTTTCTTGAATGAATGTAATGAGATTGCCAGCTGAAAATAACGGGTTACAACAGGTTTTTTATCATTTATGCAACTTTTTGTAAGAAATCAGCTGACAGGTGTCAAGAGAATCGTGTCCAATTGCAGGTTTCCTACAGGATTGCCTTACTGAGGAATATCGGAGTTTGAGGACGGAAAAACTTGAAATTGACCCTCTCTGTAAAATTCTCTCTCAGTTCACAGCACATAGCCCAGCGCAGTAGCCACAGCTCACAGCACAGCTTCAGTACAGCACAGCAAAGCTCACAGAGCAGAGTTCACATCACAGCACAGTTAATTTGCTGTCTGTTACGCTTATCTATTGATTAGTTTCGGGCTTCTTACAAACGACCTGTCGCATATGCTGGTAGATTTTTCACGCTGCAACAGTGCCGCGATGGACTTATCTTCGATACAAGTCTACCGCAGCAGCCAAACACGCGCCGGTTAGCAGACCAAAACACGTCACCGTCCCCCATCTAAATTGAATGCCAAGACTGCGCAGTGCGCACGCCACTCCTCGATTGGTATTCGTTGCAGGCGCAAGATAACGGCATCACCATCAATCGAGCAGAGGCTGTCCCGCAGCGATTCATCAAACTAAAACGAGCCATCAAATCTCAAATCTGCCCTGACTGAGAGGTGTAATGCCTCAGCAGCGCCAGGGGACGATCGTTACGTCTAAACGGTGCGACGAGGAGTGCCGGAGGAGTGAACTGCGGCGTATATGGCAGCCCCGGACACTGGCTGTTCGGCAATTATGACGTCAACGATAGGCCAATGATGGGCGTTCACTGCTCAGGGTCGAGGCGCCATGTCAGATCCGCGGTCAGCTGGGTAATTAAGGTAATGGTGTTTCTATTACTTAGTTTCACCAATAAAGACATATGTAGGTTAACCCTTACCGGCTGAGGGAGGGGGGGGGGTGCCCCCGCTTAAGTTTTTTCGTAATTGCTTGGAGCACGCTCCCGATAGAGGGCTGAAAGTAAGCACACCTGTCCTTTAATTCAAGCTGGGTCTTGAGACACCAACCACATTTTTCGGATCGGGTAAGGTCACTGACATATGATGTACCTAATAAGTGAATCTCTGCAATCTGCATGGTCGAGAAAATCACCCTTGCTCACATCTGTCTACTAATATTTCAAGCATTTTGTAATTTTCCCATTGCCCAAGCCCAATCCTTATAAACACTTACATTCATTTCCTTCCCTGCTCAGTGCTCACCCAGCGAACGTCCATCGGGCAAAGGAGCACCCATTCCCTGAATGAACACAGCCGTCTTGTGGCGTCATCTATAACTTTGCATGCAGCTCCTGACTACTAGCGGCATCTGGGATATTTTCGTCTGTCCATTTTGCAGGATTTTCCCCTGATTTGGAAACATTTTATGCTTCAGCTTCTACTTGTCTGAAACATCAGACAAGTAGGAGACATGAAATGTTATTGTTATTAAAAGAAATACATTCGTTGAGCATTCATCTTCCCTCAAAAATAGCAGATTTCCCCTCTAAACAAATAGTTACCCAACGTCTTTGAATTAGTAGTCTTGTTTTCTATATAATGTCCCTCCTGCTTCAGTTTTGTCAAACGCCTTTGGCGATAGAGCCGCGCCCGCCTGCTGGCAGTTGCAATTCTGCGCCCTATTGCGTCGAAGCGCAGTGCAGTGATTGTTGTGGTTTCCGTTGGAATCGAAGCGCTGCTCGACCCCCAGTTGAATCATTTTTCGAGGAATTTCGTTCGGCATTTATTGCATCGCCTGGCGCCAAGAAGTTCCTGAAGATCAGAGTTCAAGTTTGGTTGTTGCTGGGGTTTTGAATTGATTGGTGCCTGAAATCAAGTTTACAGACGACGTTGGCCTTGAATGATCCCTTGCAACGGAGATTTTGTTCAAGATGTCTTCATCTTGCTGATGCACAGGGCCACAAATAACTTTTGAATAGAGAACAGGCTATTGCTCTGCCTTATTGTTATGTTTCTTACAATGTTTAGGCAGCCTCTAGCATCATTTCTCCTGATTATCATCATCAATGGATGTCATTCAGGTGAGTAGGTAGTGTATATATTAGGTACTGTTTCAACTTACGTAATTTTGGTCGGACAATAACAACCAGTTCAAGTTCAATAAGTATCATGTAGATATGAAGGACATACCTATGTAGTTCACAGGTAACCCACCCTGTATCGGTGGTAGATGTAAGATGTTGACATAGAAGTCAAAGTGTGATGGCTAAGGGTGGTATACTGATACCTTTAGAATATGACATTGCCGGCTGCCGCTCTTATCTGCTGGTTACCACAATGTTTTGTGCCACAATCCCTGATATGGGACACTGGGCACATTTGAAATATGCAAATCATGCTAACAACTCAAACTGAGTCAGGCCACTGCACTGCAACAAGCTGTATATGACTGGAGCCTTCACCTTGAGTGAGGCAAAGTGGTCCTTCAGAATTCTGTAGTTTATATATTTAAGTATAAGTAAGTAGGTATGTCTGACTGGTGCTGTGTCTATGGCTGTACTTGCTAAGGATCAGTTTCCTTGTGCTTTGGCTGCGAAGTCTCTCACTGCTGAGTAGTTGAAATGCAGCCAGATGTGTTGAGTGTAGTGTCCAGCCTTTTTTGTTGTATGTGCTCATACTCCTGCAGATTACGGAGTTGTGAAAATGCAGAACACAGGTGCAGTTGCACACATTTGGTTTTGTGTTTGGCTGAGAAGTTTAAGACATTTTGAGTTAATAACAACTAAATTGGAAGTTGAATTAGGCTAAATTGGTACAATTTATTCATGGTACATATTTGGTGTATATAAATTTATGATTAACATGATAAACAGTGCCTTGAGCTGATATTTCACTTTGAAATATGAAATCAGGTATTCTTAATCCCATGTAAGCATTTTGAAGTCACAATATTGGCTTGGCTGCCCAAGATTCATGTGAGCTGAAACTGCTTTGGCCATGTAAATGCCTACCAAACTTTGTCAGATTTGCTATTGTTGTGCTAAATGTAGCCTGGGAGCCTGACTGACTTCATAAGAGACACTTATCAATATTTCACAATTATTTGTTGTAACAACTTTTTTAAAGTGAGCCTCACTAGTTTGTGGATTGTGAAATCATTAAAACTCTGTTCTGTGCCCCTCATTCATTCACCAATATTTTGTAGCTCATGTGGTATGATTTGTTTCAGATTTGTGCAATAACCCTCTGATGGAGGGAGCTGAGCTTTCAGCGACCTCAGAGCTCAGAGGCAAGGAAGCCAAGTATGCCAGACTGAATGGTGAGTAATTATCATCTGGAGGTCCCCTGAATTTGCCTATGACTTTCCTCTGTCTAAGAATAAATACATGATCTCCTTATGTTAAGTGTTTAGTGTGGCACAACACACAAGACCAACTAGCCATTTAGGTTTCATGATAGGTGTGATTATAATCGCTGCCTTCAAAATTTCATCAAAATAATGACACTTTATGAACAGGCAAATGGTGTTACATAACCTGCTTTGAAATGCAGAAATACTTAACCATTTCAGGCATTCGTTTGTTTTACTTCCTTTAGCAATTATCAGCTAATTACGGAGCGAGCGAAGCGAGCGGAGTCTCATACTGAATTAAGGGAAAATCCTGAGTATGAGCGGCCGGCCGGCCGGCCGGCCGTGGGGACGCTCTTCAAAAGCTAATATCTTAGGAACGGGACATCCGATTGACAAGCGGTCTTCTTTACTGAATGTCACTTGGACGTAAAAGTTCTGTGGTGTGATGGGCACCATGCGTTCTTGGCAACCAGCGCACGTGGCGCGTGGTAAAGTTGGACATTTTTTAAGAACCCCCAAAATTGCAACCTCAATAACGGCACAACGGTTGGGCCGATTGAATTGAAACTTGGTACACAGTTAGGTCTCCATCAGATAATTCATCTGCATGTGTTAAGGTTGGGGTGCTACAGCACGTGCGCACGTGCAGGGGGCGCTCCCAGATCTCGAGAACGGCTGGGCCGATTGCGCTCAAATTTGGTACACGGTTGGGGACCAGTTAGTAGGGTGCCGTGCAAAAGTCAGTTTGGACCCCGCTTGCACGTGCGCACGTGCAGTGTGCCGCTTCCAGATCTCGAGAACGGCTAGGCCGATTGCGCTGAAATTTGGCACATCACTAAAGACCGGTTAGTAGGGTGCAGTGCACAAGTTAGTTGGAGGTACCCCCTCGTAATTTCGCACGTGCAAGGCCCATCCTCTCGCTCGCTCCGTTGGTCGCCCCAAAAGGCGTTTTACTGGTTTTAAGTGTTCTGATATGCCATTGCTAGCTAATTTAATCAGGCATCCCACGATGACTACTGACAGATATTTTCCAAACTTCCAAAGCCCATAGCAATGTGCTGACGTCTGTTAGTCTCCAATCCCTGACCTCAGTGAGTGCATACCCAGCGGGACTCCCCCGCCCTACTCAGCGCCCCTCCGGTATCCCCGGTCCCGGTGGACACCGGTGCTGTCTCCGCACCGTCGTCCGTCGGGTCATAGGTCGGGTGACGCGGGCTCCGGCAGCACTATTGATTAGCACGCGCCGCGCCGGGGCTGGCCGCGCCGGCCGTCGGGCGAGCTGTCACAGCCCGCTCTAATTGGCACCGGGGCGGCCCGGTACCGACTGGACGGAGCGCGTACCAGGCACGGCGGACGGTCCGAGATGGACTCTGAACGGTCCGCCGACAGCGCTGGATCGGGCGCTAGGGATGGGCCCCATGCACTCCATGGGGTAGCTCGGACATTTTAGCGGTAGAAGGGTTTGCAAAAAAGGTGGATGTCAGGCCTTCTTGGAAAGTGATGATAAAATGAAACTTTTGAATGGTTAGTTTCCTCTTTCTAAGTAGACCGATTTGATTATTGTTTTAACTTCATAATAATTATTTAACTAGAGACCTGACGTCATGGAGGGTCGCCAGAGATGCGTTATAAGTGTGGTAACTTAACATCGAGCATACCTACTACAAAGCGAAGGTCTTATGTCTGGGCGTCCCTCGGACCTCGCCTCACGCATCTCTCACAGGCCGGGGCTCGCCGTAATCCCGTGTTTTACCATATGTGTGATCGTTAGTCCTCTATCCAGTTCTGCTAATGCCACCAACCGGTTTTCCTCTCCCGCCGTCTGTCGAGAAGGGCGTTTTGATCGTTACGTATGTGTGCTGCATGTGTACACGCATTTTTGCTTTTATTTTATTTATCGTTTAAATTAATCTTTTAGTTCACTCCATAATATGTATATCCTGATCTTTCAAATTATTATAAGATAAATATTGGTATCCAATTCATATTCTGTTCCATTTCATCCAGCCATTTTATCAGTTGCCGATAACTGTTACATAGACCACTCCATGCCAAAGACTCGTGTAATGCAGTAATCCATGACTGTTATAATTACATATTTTACCATGATCACTGGCACAAGCTCTGTGCCTTTGCACTGTGCGCATGGTGCTTCCATAATTCAATGACTCTGGGTTCAATTGTATTGCCACGAGCACGAGTCACTGTTTGTATTCTGGGTCAGGTTCCGAGTGGATTGCACGGTCACTGGTGCAATGTTTGTTTTGCGAACTTACGCTCGCCCCATGCATACCTGATGGGTGTTCTGTGTAATATTTGCCGAGTTTCTGCTGGTGGCATGCCAATTTCAGTTTGCAGTTCTTTGAATTTTGTTCTGCGATCGTTGCAGTTTGCCGTTTATCTTTTGATGGTTGAACGTTCGTTTGTTTACCTTGCCGTGACTTGCCGGTGAAGGTGGAAAAGGTACGAAGCCGTAGCCCGTAGCCAATGTTTATTTAGCTACTTTAATTCAAACACTGCCTAACACGTGAGTAGCTTTCATCAGAAAACTGAGAGCGATCAACATTACAAAGGCTCTTTCCCCTGACTTACCTATCTCAGAGCCGACAACAAACCGACTCGTTTCCACTTTCGCCGTGCCTGTTCCATCCTCATGCTCACCGTGTTCACCCTTGCACGCTGTAAATGTTGTGTGTGTTGTGTGTCTGTCTGTCGTCGGCCCTGCATGTGCCGTGGGTGTTTCCACCGTCCCCTGCACGCGCTGTGTACTTGCCCATCTCCTCGCCCAGGCGACGGCGCGTGGACGGCTCGCATCTCGAACGTCGGCCAGAGTCTGACCGTCGACCTGAACGACGTGTATCGGATCACGCGGATCGAGACCCAGGGTCGCAGCGCCTCGGAACAGTGGGTGAGGCAGTATAGCCTCGCGTACGGCTTCAACGGCAGAGACTTCATGGACTACCGCGGCCCGCACGGCGGCGCATGGGTAAGCGACACTGGACAGTGGACACGGAGCACGGAGGATGACGGACCGAACGAGAGGAGCTCGTTCATATGACGACGTCGTTTTGCATGCTTTTTCAGGTGATGTGTGCATCTCTCTCGTCTGTGTCGAGTGATAAGTGAGGATGTGGGCCGTAACTGATCAAAACGCTCAGAACCGACTGGAAGGCGTGTTCAAGTGAGGATCTCGTGGAACCGCGTAAGATAGTTGAAACTGATAAAGATTAGTTTTTAGTTTAGGTCGATTGGGTAGTGGGGGTTCCACTTGAGCTGACAGCAGATGCGTCTCTTCCGACCAAACCAAGAATATGATTCAATGGGAGCTACAGGTGTCAGGTACTCGTATTACGTAACGAAACAGGTCGTGTTCGTTCACCTTTTCCGGCGTCATTCATGGACCATGGTCCTCCAAGCAGATGCCCTGACAATGGTAAGGCTGCGTTTGTGCGTTACTGTGTTGGTCGTTTTCCAACTCCCAGTCTCATCGCTGACCAGCCGCACGCTTTCAGTGTTCACCCGAAGGTGAGGTCACCGTTCATTTCCGCATGCCCAGAGTTTGCACGGTTCAGTATTTTGGACTTTGGTCCGGGCTTTACACTCCACAGGCATTCTCGACCATTGTAATTTCGGCGCCGCGCAGTCGCTGCTCGCAGCCTTTCTGCGCGTCAGACTGGGCTGCGTTCCCGTGGACATTTCAGCAATGGAAAAAGCGTTACGCCGCCGACTTTTCTGCTGTTGTCAGACCGAACTGCCGGCAGCTCCACTCAGTCAGCCCCCTCCCCCCCCCCCACCCCCCACCCCCCCACCCCACCGCACCCCACCTATGACGGCGCCCTGGCCCACGCCCGACGCCGCCATTCCTGTCATAGTATAATAACCCTGATAGGATTCCCTCGTCGTTCCATTTTATCGCCCATTTGCAGCCCGGACTTCTGTTCGAATAGCCGATTATGGCCACTTTGGAACACCGTCGGTTATGATGTTAGCTGACAAAATTCCTTAATTACAGATGACCTTTTGATGACATTTTAGAACATAGCGTAACAGCATCAATAGCGTAACAGTATCGATCCTTATCCTCAGGAGCCTCATATTCAATTCCCTTTACCTTCCTAGCACCGTTCCGTGCTTCTATCCTCAGGATACAGAAATCCTTCTCCACGCCGCAAACCCCTCCGGGCTGGACAGGCAACTTTATCCCATGCGGGCTGCTCCCTTGGAGCGGCACCGCTGCTCCCGAGGGAGCGCACCCCGTAGCCGGGTGCAGTGAGTACCTTGGGGCTGGGTGGCCTGTCCTCTGGACGGACTCAGCCCCGGTGACTCACTAGGGTGCCTGCCCAGACCAATGTCTCCCCCCATATCCTATCATCCTCCCGGCTCTGAAATGGTCTAATTGGACCGAAAGGGCCTAACCCAACAAAACAAACAAACCTTCCTAGCGAATTCCTCCAACCTCGTCTGACTCGCTTGGTGTCCTTACAACTCACCAGGTGATAGAGCGTGGATGCCCAGCATGTCCAACAACAAGCAGTACTTCACCGTGGACCTGGGGGACACCTTTCGCATCACCCGTGTGGCCACCCAGGGTTATCCCCGCTCCAACAACTACGTCAAGAGATTCGGCGTCGAACACTCTCTGGATGGTCGCGCCTTTCGACCGTACCGTACTGAAATTGGCCAGGCAGAGGTCAGGGGCAATGTGTGGATGTTTGTGGTCACCGGTCACAGGAGGGCTACGCCCGGTGACCTGTCGGCTTGGTGTTTTGTTGGTTTGACGTGGCTGAAAGCTTTGGTTTCGATTTGGTTTGGTTTTGTTGTTCATTGGTTGCTACACGCGGTCCTAATGTCGGTACACCGTGATGCTATGTGGATGTTTATGTCGTGTCGTCGCCCGTCGGTCCGCTTCTATTACACGTTGATCAGCATGTTGGGTGTTTTCTCGTGCTTTGTTTTACAGACCTCCACGCAGCGAGGACTGGAGTAGCGCGGGCGGGCTGTTTCAGTTTCGTTCACCCCGTGTTTTTCTGTTGTTGTCCAGGTGGAGAGTCAAGCCTGCTATTGATCCACATACGAGCACGCTGCCCATTCACGGCTCAGCCCACTGCTGGGCCGCTCGTTTTCTTTCGTGTTGTGCGCTTGTTTCATTTGTCGTTTGCAGTCGGCTGTTTGGTTATTGTCTGTGACGAATGTCAAACAGCTTTGAAGATAGATAGATAACAGTCACACGCCACAACGGTGGCATAATGTGCACGCTTTCGTGGACAGTTACGTTTGTGTTTGTTGGTTTCCTTGGTTTGTGTGATACATTGATAATTAAATTGGTCGTTTTTCTGTGAATGGTTGACGTGTTTTTCTCTACTTTTGCCTAATTGTGTTATATTTTTTTATTGAAACTTTTTGCTTCGCTCCATTTATAATCGATTTGTAGCAATGAAAATGCTAAAAATAAACATTCATAAGTTCTAGTCAATTTTCAATTTTATTGTGTTTATTGCTGGATGCTAAAATGCAAAGAAGCATATTTCACGTAAAGCAAGTACCGATCTAAACCACAAACCACCGCTCCAGCACTGATGTAACGCCATTGCAGGAGTTCAATGGCAACGTGAATGGAGACGACGTTGTGGAGAACCGCTTCGAGACACCGATCGTGGCGCAGTTCGTTCGAATTCGGCCCACCAGATGGCAGGACCGCATGTCGCTGCGCCTGGAGCTCTACGGATGCGCCTTTTGTAAGCAGTTGCTGGAGATTTGTGGAATTTTGTTTTGGGTGGTGGGATGTGTGTGAGATCAGATTATCTCATTTGCTGCGTAAATTTGGATGTAACGGTCACCGAGAATATAGGTAGATTGGCACTAACGTAATCGAATTTTCGTATCGTGCTCCTTCGTGACGTATGTCTCCAGGGAATGGAGATTGTTATCTATATGCAAAGTTATGCTCAATTTGTTTCTGCAAAGTGAAACACGTTTTGAGATTCCGATGCGTGGGGGCGTGGTCCATGTCTTAGTTGGTCTGTTAAGCGCCGACAACAGACCCGACATGCTGACTAAAGTGTCCTTTGGTCTTTTTTCAGCGGGTATCACGATGTCCTTCAATGGCAGTGCGTTCGTCGAGAAGAGCCTGGTTCGGAACCAGGTCCATTCGCTCTACGATCGGTTCAACTTCAGGTTAGTATTCCGGGAATTGGCCAGTTTCGATGTACATGGGTCCTTTGTCGCGCTTTATGAATGGTGCTACTGCCCGATGAACTCAGTCAGATATTAGCCTGCATAGTCGCCTGAAAGTGAACATTCTTTTGCAGCCTCGTCACGTCATCTTTCTCCACTCATTTTAAATTCACCCTTCCCAGTGGCTCACCCCGAGGAGTAGTGCGTATTCCACACGTCCACATCTGACCTCCACTGTAACCCCCTCAGGTTCCGGACGGCCCATCCGAACGGCGTGCTCATGTACAGCCACGGCGCGCAGGGGGACATCTTCGCCATCCAGCTGGTGGAGAACAAGCTGCGACTGGACATTGACCTCGGTACGGAGGGATGACGGGGATGATGGGGTGGAGGGAGGGTCATGAGGGAGGGTAGGAGAGTCAGGGCTGGATTTTAAGCCGATAAGAACTTTGAACTCTGAATAGGTTTGATGTGAAGCACGCAACGTCGCAATCCATGTTTGATATTGCAAAGTTCGAAGCAACGTCGCTTGAACTTTGAAGAAGTCTTAGAACCCTTTGTAGTTTTACCTTGGTGGTAGCGTGCGCCGTTACGTGATGTGCCGTATTAAGCAGGCGCCGGGCATTACATTATTCGCGGTACACTGCCCTACTACGCAGTTGGTAGCCCTCCCCAAATATGTGCCCGACCCGAGTTTCCTGTTCCTGGTTCGCTCTAACGTCGCGCAGCGGGAAATACCATTCATCCCGCACTTATCGAGTGAACTCTTTGTTCGAGGCGTTTCACTCGTACAGCCTATGGTATTTAATAGTGTTATGGTCTTTTCTCTCGTACCTTCACAGCTTTCATGATGCTTGGACGTATAGGACAACCCAGGCTAGTAGTTTATTTGTTTTGGCTCGTACCTATGCCCTGTGATTTATCCTATCACGTCACGTCTCACTTATCGCATCGCGTCTTACCACGTTTTTATTCAAAAGTCTCCGGCCTGCCTTCCGTCTCATCTTTGCCCATACCTTACCGTACCTCACACTCTGTTTCTATCTATTAATTTTTCTACCACACCACCTTTCACCGACCTCCTCTCTCCCCAGGCTCGCGTCAGATGACCACCCTCTCTGTGGGTTCCCTGCTCGACGACCATCTGTGGCACGATGTCAAGGTTGAGAGAACCGAACGCATGGTAAACCTCAGCGTCGATAGAGTGGAGGTCGCCCGGGAGGTCAACGGCGTCTTCCGCAAGCTCGACCTCAACGCCAAGGTAAGGGAGGGGAATGGGACAGGCAATGGACAGGGACTTAGAGGGGATTGGAGGACTTGAGAGGCTGGACGCGAGGTGTATGACTTTTGCCGGTTTTTGTTGTTTTCTACGGTGTAAATGCCGTTATTTAGTTCGAAATGGTCTCTTGATGTTTCTTATGAACTTTGTACGCTATCACATTAGAAACTTTTCGGGCTGAGGTGCATTAGAATTAATTAACTCTCGTCATGTCTGAATCTGCCACTTCATAAATATCACCGCGGCCTCGCCGGTCTCAACCACTGACTGACCTGTGCCGACCTCCTCTCCACGCCCCACAGTTCTACCTGGGCGGCGTGCCGTACATCCAGAAGGGCATCGTCAGTCCGAGCAACTTCAGCGGCTGCATCGAGAACCTGTACGTGAACAGTACCAACTTCATCGGGGAGGTGCGCGAGCGGCACCGCGACTACACCAACCACGGCGGAGAGTTCAACTGCCCGGTCAGTGAACGGGTGGTAGAGGAAGGGTCTGGTCTGGATGGCAGTTTGAATGTGAGGGTTGTAATGAAATATAGGGTGTGTGTTATCGGGAAAATCCTGGGATCGATAACTGCCGTAAGCGTGGTTCTTTCTTTCACAAGGACTAAAAAGATAAAAGAATTGATCAGAAAAGAATAAACAGATGTGATCTTGTGACGATCACGTGACGGGTAGTTATTACGGCAACGGTGCAGAATGACGATTTATCGACACGATGTGTATGAACTGTGCTTTTCCCTCGGGCGCTGCATACGTGACTGATCCAGCTGAAGTTGCACTCTGCGCACGGTACTAACCTGTCCTCTTCACAGGCGGTGCACACGGTACCAATGACCTTCCTGGATCGAACGGCGTTCGTCAAGGTCACAGGCAACGAGGGTCAGACGACGCTCAACATTTCGTTCGAGTTCCGGACTTACGAGGAGGACGGCATGTTGGCCTACCACAATTTCCTCACACGAGGTTATGTCAAGGTGAGAATGTCCAGTGGCAGCTGCCAGTGGATACATTTTATAGTATCTGGCCCGATGTCTACTTTGGGTCAAGTTTTGATGATGGAATCCGTCAATAGGGGTTTGCATATTGAAATTGAGAAGGCCGGGAGTCTCGTGAGTAACTTTTGATGCTCTCTCATCTGCTAAACTGGACTACGGAAACGCCTCTTTATAGTCATCAATCGTGACATGTCTGCGCTGGAACCATTTCCGTTTTATCGTAACTAACTTTCTGGCCACCTTCGTTTGAGTACACGTCGGCTGTCAGGCACCGAACTCCTCGTTCTGTTCACACGCTAACCATCTCACCTCCCCTCGGACAGATCTTCCTGGAGGACGGCCGGTTCAAGGTGGAGATCTCCACCCGCGAGATCGACTCTGTGGTCCTCGATCCATTCGAGGCGACCTACAACGACGGCCGCTGGCACTCGGCAACCGTCGCGCTGGCTGAGAACAGTGCTGTCACCGTCATAGACGGGTACCCCATGTACACACAGAGGCTGATGACGTTCTCAACCGGAGTGGACTACCTGTTCGCAGGTGGGTAGAAGGTGGGGGAGAGGACGTAGGAAGAGAGCGGGCTGCTCAAAGACTGGGTGTGGGAAGGTTGGGAGGGATGCCTGGATAGTCAGTTTGCTTGTCGATATGTGGGGTGAGCAGATTTGAGATGAGATAGGCGAGTGTCCGCGAATCAGCAGCGGTTTGAGTGAGACGAGAAAAAAGATGTGCAGGTGGCTGTAATTGTCGGGGAATATGCATAGAGACAGTTATATCATGATTGGTGTGTGGGGAGGGTCATTCAATTGACGTGCCTCCGGTAGCATACCGTTGTGGCTAGTGGATATTGTTTAGCATTGGTGGTACACCGATTTGTTATAGGTCATGATGTGCGTGCTCTGGCTCCATTATAGACTGGATGGTGTAGTTTTTGTCCAGTGATGTGTTGTGATGCGTGTCTGTCTGGTTGCTATGGACAGAATGCTCGTTTAGCTGTCGGCCAATGAGCTGTATGTCTCGCTGCATTTATGCATCATTATTGACGATGTAGTTAGGCAAATCGCTGATTGATGACTTGTTCCATGTTGTCTGCACAAAGGTCACGTAACGTGCCGAAACAGCGTCTACTCTTCGCGGCTGCAATGCTTAATTGGGCGTATCTTTTTTTATTCATCACAACTGTCTTGTAGGGGTAGTCAACAATGTACCATCCGACTAACCTCTCAACCAAAATGCGTGCCCTATGAGTAACCATACGGCATACACCTCTCTCCTTCTCAGGCGGACTGCCCGGTATTGAGAACCCTGGCTACCTGGGCTGTATGCGCAGCTTGGCGGCAGGAGGCAACAACCAGAGCCCTCTTAATCTGGGGCCGCAGGTACGGTAAAGGGCACCTGCTGGCCGTTGGGACACAGAGACTCTACTCAATCCGCTGCAGCCTGTTGTAGTTGCTATAGAAGCGCGGCTTTGTTCAGGCTTGCATATCGCGCTGTTATTTGGTGTGTTTATGCTTTGCAGCAAAGCAAACCAGGCCTAGCTGAATCATACTCGTCTCGCTCAGGCCCCAGGTTTTTGCTCATTAGCTAGGGAACGTCAATGATGCAGTCAAGGTAGTGAAGAAAACCAGGCATTTGCATTATGCTACTGGGTATCAGCTGTGGAACTTACCCAAACACGCCAAGCAACCCGATGCAACTGCAGTAGATGTCTCCCTTCGGCCATCCGATCCAACACTTCTATCTCCCCTTCTTGACCGCCCCCTCCCCCCGTCGACTGTTTCAGAACAAATTCAACGAGCGATACATTGTGATCGACGGATGCCAAATGGAGGACCGATGCAACCCGAACCCGTGCGAGCACGAGGGTGTCTGCACGCAGAACTCGCGCGAGTTCTTCTGCGACTGCCGCAAGACTGGCTATGCGGGATCCGTCTGCCGTACCAGTGAGTAGTAGGAGCTTATTTGCGAGGGTGTTTTAAATTTGGCGGTCGGGGATGCGGGTTGAGGCCGTTGATGATTGATCAGGGGTTCCCTCCCTTCAGTGTGTGGGCTAATGATAAAGATGTTGACCAGTAGGCTGGCGTGGAAGTAGGATCTGTTGGGTGCGTTAAATGATATGAATTTTGTCTGTTCTATGTTTGAAACATGTCAATCATGTCATGGACGCAAATCATGATAATGTTATGTGAAATATTTGTATTTGATAAGCTTCGCCCATATTTGATAGTTGCTTGTTTTGCAATGCTATGATCGTCCAGTGCGCTGGACGATGATGACCTTCCATAGGGACAGTGGCTTTAAATTGATCATGTTTATCGTGGCCAGCATCACTTGACATTATGACGTAGCAGATTACCTGACTCTCTAACCCCTTCCTCCCCTGCTCTGTGATTCTGCCCGCAGCCACGAACCCGATATCATGCGCACAGCACTTTATGATCAGCCGCGGCGGGCGGCGGGAGCTGATTCAGCTGGATGTGGACGGCTCGGGACCGCTGGCCGCCTTCCCCGTCACCTGTGTCCTCACCCCCGAGGGACAGGTTAGTACCGCGTGGCTGGGGTCACATAGTTGGAGATGTGGCACTGGGTTACACAGGGTGCGAGGAGAGAGCCTACCTCTAAACCCTGGCTCTTGACATTCAGTGGTTGATTTTGTATCAGACCCAGGACTAGAAGGGCGGGCGAGAAGCCCGGTACTTAGTGAGGCTGGGGCTGTCTTGGCGTGTGTTGTGTTTTATGTGACAGTTTGCCGTTCAGATATACCTCGCTTATCGCTATGACCGTGGCTGTTTTAATTTAACTGACGATAAGTTGCTCTCGACTGTGTGTGATCGTCACTTGTGACTGTGAATGTGACTGTATCTATGACTGTGACTGTTCCATCAGGTGGAGACTCATCTGGAGCACAACGTGCCCGGTGATCAGCTGGTGGACGGCTTTGAGCGGCGCGGCAGCTACGTGCAGGACTTCAAATACGAGGCCAACATGAAACAGGTGCGTGATGAGCCACAGTGGCATCGTTGTTGTGAGAAGTGGGGCTCGGAGAAGTAAGGCAACGCCTGGGTGAGTAGGTTCGCCATGTTGTTATACAGTGTCGTGGTTTCCATCCTGAAGAGGAAGCGTTACATTAAGCGTATGTATCTAGCGTAGCAAGTATATCCTCTAACATACCCCCTCCGCTGGCCCCTCTACAGATTGAGAGGCTCATCAACGGCTCTCTGACGTGCAAACAAGAGCTGTTTTACGCGTGCCGCCGGTCGCGGCTGCTCAACACTCCCGTCCGGCCCGAGGAACCGTTCGAGCCGTTCTCGTGGTGGGTGTCCCGCAACAATGAGATCATGGACTACTGGGGCGGCTCTCAGCCCGGCAGCCGGAAGTGCGCCTGCGGCATACAGGGCACCTGCATCGACCGCACCAAGGACTGCAACTGCGACGCCGGTGAGCGGGGGATGACTGGGAGACAGACGAGGGGTCGAGAGCGGGATGTGGGGTGGGAGAGTAGGTTCGCTGTTTGAGATTTTGATTGATCTGTTTGAAAAGGTTGACGGCGGAACATCCTCCACTGTTTCAGAGGTGAATACTGCATACCGATAGGCTTGTTTTTCGCTGTCTCTCTTTCCTACCCTGACCACGTGCACTGACCAGCCTTTCCCCTAACACCCTCTCCCGGGCTCCGCCATATGATCTACCAGGCTTATACCGACTTTCCATTGCCCCTGACCTTATCCACCGTCCAATATTACTCCTGACCTGACCTGTCATGCCCTGACCTGCTGTGACCTGACCTGCTATGACCTGACAACCTCTAGGCGCTAACCTGACGGCCGCTGTCACCTGTCAGGTCTGGAGCTGGAGACGTCCGACGGCGGTGACCTGATGTTCAAACAGGATCTGCCGGTGCGCCAGCTGCGATTTGGGGACACCGGTTCCCCCGGAGACGAGAAGCGCGGCATCTACCGCGTCGGCAGCCTCATCTGCGAGGGAGATGGTAAGCAGGGAGAGGAGACCTAGTCTCTGGCTATCTTTTGGGTTTGAAGTATTTGAGCTTGGCGGGAAAATGTGACTCCATAATAGGCCCTTATGTCTGCCATGATATTAATTGAACTACAGGTTCAACTTTGGAAGAAAATGTGGCGCAAGTGGGTCGGTGCAATGCAGGATGAATGGAGGGAGGTTGGCAGACAGGTCAAAACGTGTTCCCGCACCGGGAATCGAACCCGGGCCTCACGGGTGAGAGCCGTGTATCCTAGCCACTAGACCATGCGGGAGATGTGGGGGGCGGTCCGAGAAGCCTGATAGACTCGTGAAACCTGTTTCTTGCACCTTTGGGACTATGTCACTAGTCTGTTCCATATCAAGCTTGCAGTCGGAGTTTCTTCGGCAGCGCTCCTCCGCTCAAGAATTTGCGTCTTAAAATGTAAGAGCTGTATATACAGAAATCACGAACTGCTTTCAGCAGGGCACTTCGGCTGCAAGCTTGAAACGGAACAGAGTATACTTACCTTACGATGTCCCCCTGCGCTTCATCCTGCCAGCTGGCACCACCTAGTACACTCGGGGGCAGATTGATGTTCCACTACTCCCTACCCATCGGGCTCCCATGGCTCCCGCACTGGCTGCTGTCAGTGGCAGGACTGGCAGCACTGGCATTGGCAGGCAGTGCTGAGCAGTGCTGAGGGCAGGCAACACTGGCAGCAGCCACTGCTGATCCATGGGAGCCCGATGGGTAGGGAGTGGTGGAACATCAATCTGCCCCCGAGTGTACCAGAACGGATTCGTGGGCTGCATGCACTTGAAAGCATTTTGTCAATGAAATACGTGTGATCAAACTATCTCGGGCGTTGCTTGATGGTTTTGTTTGTCAAGGATGGTGTCGGATGCTTGGTATACTGTGTTCAAGAAGCCTACACTATTAAGTGGAGGACTTGATCCAGCTGTCCAATCTACCCTCGTAAGGGCGTCTCGTTATGGGGTTCCTCCTAAACCGGACGGCCAGGCAATCTACCCTACCGAGACGCCCTCGTAAGGGCGTCTCGCTAGGGGGTTCCTCCTAAACCGGGCGGCCAAGTTCCTGTCGCCCACCCTCTAAAAGGCCGAAGTACCTCATGCCGGCGGGACTGCTGGAAGACGGCTATGGCCTTGCGCTGGTCCCCGACGGTCGATGGACTAAGCTCCTCGGGTGAACGGCTGGATAGTTGGTGCAGCTGCAATCCGCGGAACGCCAGGCAGGCCACAGACCCCCAGCTCTCAGGGTTGTAGCGCAGCATACCGTAGGGTACCGCCGGTACTCGATCTTGAAGCCCCTTAGCGGAGGAAAGCCAGATTGGGGTGCCCAGACACTGTGGAGAGCCTGTGTACGGTAGTTGCCGTGGTTCGGTGACCCAGTGGGAAGGGTCAAGGCAGGTGTGATGTGGCGCTTCGGTTAGGGAAGTTTGCCACGGCGGTGATGGGCAGGGCAGGGGCAGGGGGCTCGCAGCAAAACCAACAGCCTCACCCCTCGCCAACGTTGTCAACCTCGGTCGGCACAGAGGTAGCAGGCGTAGCTAGTCATGGCTAAGCCGCGCCGACGCGAACCGCCTCCTAAGAGATGGTCGTGCCAGAGCGTCAGCCACAAGGGCACCATAAGATTCGGGGCAGCGATGTTGGTAGAGTCCGAATGCGGACTGTTACCAGGACAGAGGGAGCGTCGTCAAGTCATCTGGTCTTGTAGTAAAATGTAGATAAAATTGATGAGTGGCCCATCCAGAACAGCGATTGCGAAGAGGAAGCTGAGCCAACCGTCCTCATCCTCCTTCCGCAGTTCCGGGGAGACTGAGCTCGCCAGGGTTTGCACTTGTCTTGGGAAAATGCACCGGGGAAGAGACTCCGGTGCTTCGGGAAGAAACTCCCGCGCTCCAGTCGGTCGGTCGGTCGGTCCATATGTTGGGGAATGGGGATGTCTTGTTCTTGGTTCTGTTGCTGTTGTTCCCTAGATCTGTTGCGGATCGGCAAGAGAAAGGCCCGAGTGGCTTCCTGGCGTCTTGTCCAGTGGATCATCGACGGGTGGCTTCCGCACGGCGGGCTGCCAAGTGTTGTAGTTGTGTGTGTATCGAAGAGCGCCCCGGCCGCACGGGCGTGGCTTGTCAGGACGGCAGGCCAAGAGGGACGGAGGTGGAGACCCTGGTGTGGTATGATGGATGCCCTCCAAGGTGCTGCCCCGGGATACCGGCAACAGCTGTCTGTTGCGCCACTGGCCGTCGAGCTGCTACCGACCAGGTCAACGATGCAGCAGTCGTTCCGCCTGGACACGGTGTAAACCAGTGACCACCCTACTCGTATATTGAACCCCGGCCGAAGATAAATCAGCATTCACCGCTGGCATTGTCTGATGCCAAAGGAGTGAGGCTGCTTCAGCTCTGAGTCAGTTACGGCCATGGTTTTTGGGTCTTTGACTGTTAAGTGTTTGGACGGCTGTTGTGCAGCTGAGTCTCGGCCATTGGCCGGCGCAACCTTCGAAGTCCATGACGGCCGCTCTGGAACCGGCACCAGCGGTTCTCGAGTGAGTTCTGTCAGGCCCGCCTCATCGGCCTACCACTGGCCGACCCGCCGGAAACGCGGTTTGAAGGGCAGTGCTGTGGCTTCATCTGAGGGAGGCTGAGCTTGAGTCCTTGATTGGGTGCAGGCTTGTTGCCACACTTCATGTGCCCTGTGCTTCAGCCGTGGTCGGGCTCGTCGCTCTGCCAGGACTTTGGGGCAGGATCGTCGGGGGGGGGGGGGGAAGTCGGGCGAAACGTCCCCGTTCTCTGGTTGCGAGTTCTTTTCCTCACCGCTAGCGGGGAGGCCAGTTTCGGTGCTGAGCGCGTCGGCTTTCGTGAGGCGGATGCAACCGGTGATCACCCGGGCGCATTTGTGCTGCTCCGCCTCGAGGCTGGCCCGCGGCGAGAGTGTAGCGTGAGAGGAGTAGACCGCCGCTCAGTGGTCGGCCACACTGCGGCCTGCGGATGTAGCCGGTGTTTGCCGTCTTCAATGTGGACCTGTCGCTGCCGTACGAGCGACCCGCCAGCGCCGTCTGGCAGCGTCGGCGTTGTGCCATCCTTTTCGTCACTTTTTCGATGTGTTTGGTGAATGTGAGCTGATTCACGTACCCCGGCGCAACTTCCCGCAACTTCCCGAGGGCAGCCAAGTTCCTAACCGAAGCCTTCCGCTCGACACTTTCAGACGGCGTGTGCTCTGAAAGCCGTAAGACCTTAGACTCACATGATGAAACTAATCCATGGGAGCGTTTTTTTTTTAGTCATTAGATTCAAAGCGCATGATTGGCTTGTGTCATCCCTTCCGAGTTGCTCGTATCTGAAGCCGCCTCTTCCTCCGGCAGCCATCTTCGACAACACGGTGACGTTCCGGCTGGCGGATGCCACCATCGACCTGCCTCCCTTCGAAATGGGCTACAGCGGCGACGTCTACTTCGAGTTCCGCACCACCAAGGAGTCGGGAACGTTCTTCCACATCGAGGGAGACAACGGAGATTACCTCAAGGTCTCCATGAAAGGTAGGGAGCGATTTTCGGCGTGTGGCGTATGGGGGTAGGGGGCGAATTGCGTCAGATATGTGTTAAATGGTAGCGTTTCGAGATGTTTGTGTAGGGTTGTCTGTGGGAGAAAAGGTGTTCCCGCACCGGGAATCGAACCCGGGCCTCACGGGTGAGAGCCGTGTATCCTAGCCACTAGACCATGCGGGAGATGAACGATGGCCTGCCGCACATCTTGCCGGAAATTGGGGTCCGCGGAACATTGCCAGTTTGACGTCAATATCTTGTGTATTTGACATGCCTCTCCTGCCTCTCACCTTCATTCGCGGTTCTCATACCTTGCTGCTAGCCCTCATCCGAGGTCAAAATGACACAATCATCACACATCCATGGACCCTTCTGACGCCCATCAACTTCCCGCTTCAGGAGGAAACGCGATTCAGCTGGAGTACCGGGCCGGCTCGGTACCTCTCAGCGCCACGGTCGAGGTCAGCAGCCGCCTCAATGACGACACCTGGCACTCGGTGCTGGTGGAGAGGAACCGCAAACAGGGCCGCCTCCTGGTGGACAACTCGCTCCGGAAGGAGGTGTCCGAGCCACGCGGACCCGTGCGCTCCATGAGACTGACTTCGAAACTGGTAGTCGGTGAGTGTGGGGATGGCCGGTTGGGGTCTAAGGATGGTCATTGGTCATTGGTCATTGGTCAATGGCAATGGTGATTGCTGGGACAATAAATTGTCTTTGGTGTGTAATAGTTGAATTATGATCTCAGCCATTTTTTGAACGCTGAAGGTTGAGTGCGTTAGCTAATGGCTCCGCTCCAGTGTTCGTGGGCTGTAAGGCGAGAGAAATTTAAGGCGAGAAAATGTGTTCCCGCACCGGGAATCGAACCCGGGCCTCACGGGTGAGAGCCGTGTATCCTAGCCACTAGACCATGCGGGAGTTGGTGATGGCGGCCCGATAAGCGTGGCAGAACCGTGAGACCTGCTTCTTGATCCTTTGGAACTACGTCACAACCTACCTTACGATGTCTCCCCTCGCTTCACCCTGCCAGGTGCCACCACCCAGTACCGGAACGGCTTCGTGGGCTGCATGCGCGCCTTCCTGGTCAACGGGCAGCTGCAGAACCTCAAGTACCTCGTGGAGCGGGGAATGTGGTCCACAGTGCACCACCGAAACATCTACCTTGGCCCGCTGTACGGCGTCTCTGTGGGCTGTCAGGGCAAGTGCGCCAGCTCCCCGTGTCTGAACAACGGCACCTGCATTGAGGGCTACTCGGACTACGAGTGCAACTGCCGCTGGACGGCCTTCAAGGGGCCCATCTGCGCAGACGGTACGTGACCGAGGGAGGGTCGGTTTTCCTTGTTGTGTTGCAGCTGCTGGCATAGTGCCCACCCTGGTGTACCAAGGAATCGCCTGAGGCTTCGCTCGGCTTCTTTGTTAACTAAATATTTTCGCTTACGCTGAAAATTGGATTCCTGTCAATATCACAGTTCTTACCTGGGCCCTCGTTTTCAGAGATCGGCGTGAGTATGACGCGCAGCTACATGATCAAGTACGAGCTGGAGGGCAGCTACAAGTCCACCATCGCCGAGTACATCCGCGTCGGCTTCACGACTACCAGTCCGTCGGGCTTCCTGCTCGGCCTGGTTTCCAACATCACCAAGGAGTACATGACCATCATGGTCTCCAACAGCGGTAAGGAACGGATGGCGGGGAGGAAGGGGGGAGTGCGGTGGGGTGGGACATTGAAGCTGTATGTTATTAGTTGGTACTGGCTGTCATTGCTTGGATGATTTCACGTGGAAACTCGTGCTGAAAGAATCAATGGGGCAGATGCTATAGCGTATAACTGTGTGGGTAAGTTTGTTCAAGCTCAATCTCAGAATACAACTTTGCAAAACATTTGTTTGCACCACGCATGCGGAAGCTATCCTCCGTTTCGCCTGTCATTCACGAATGAAACTCGCTATTATGAAGTAATCGTAATGCATGTCATCCGAGCTATGAGAGCCGTGTCGCCCACCGTCAGCCGATGATGTCATTTAGCACCGAACCGGGGTGTCAACTGACACTGAGTATAGCGGACATGTGACACCTTGCCCAGCCCGCCCTGCGACAACCAACCAGGCCGCGGGTGGCGCCGATCGCGTGGTCTGAATTCGATCCGCAGCTTACATAAGACCTGGGACACGTCCAGTGCTAACTTCGTGCATATGTGGTGCTTTCACTGTCGATTGCTTATGCGATGCTTTCATTGTCGATTGGTTTCCTATAGCGTAACGTGACATTCCCTTATTCAGTTCATTGCATAAGCCCTAAATGCAAATCGAAGTAAAAGATATGTTGAGCTTACGAAATCCCATACACACTGGACAGACAACTCAATGGATAGTTGCCCTTCCAGTGAGAACACTTGTTCAAATCACATGCCGACAATACTGGCGTGTCACCAGTGTTATTCCCACCTATTCACCCTTGCTCTTCACCCTCCCCCAGGTCACATTCGAGTCGTGTTCGACTTTGGTTTCGAACGACGCGACGTGGTCTACCCGGACAAGATCTTCAACGAGGGTCAGTTCCACGACGTTCACATCCGTCGACTCAACGGCGGGGCAACTCTACAGATACAGGCGAGTCTGAGCTCATTTACCAACGATTGTGTGGGGTCTACATAAGAGACCTTATGCCCGGTCGTACGAACCCGCCATAAGCTTATATTGATCGCGCCCGGCTCATTGGAATGGGAGATCGATTGTTTAGCATGTCGTGATTAGCTGATGTCAACACTGCCGAGTGTTTTCCCTGATGTGGGACAGACGACCCTGATTGCTAATGAGGTGCGGTAGCACGGTGGAACTCTGGTGAAAGACAAAGAATGAATGTATTATGTAAGTTGAGGAAGCGGCTCCGCGGCTATTCCAATAGGCTATGGTATGTCGAATGTATTGTGTATGGAATGTGGATGTTTTTGTTATATGTGTTGATCGAGCGAAGATGAATTAACATGCGTCCCCATTTGGAGAGGCAGTTGACATTCATCAAACGTGGGCTGATAATTGATAAGAAGGGTCATTGTCCCAACTCGTCCCCGCAGTTTGGAAACTATGGTTGACCCGTCACCGTAAAGTGTGGTTATCGGGCTAGTTTTTTGAAGATGCCGCGATCAAACAAAGGAAGTATCTGCTCAATGATTATAGATTTTCGTGTTATATATTCTGTTCCCTTTTCCGACATCTGACTGTGTTATCTGTCCGTTCCCAGGTGGATGACTACCCACCGTACAGCGAGACTTTCTACGTGAACCCCTCTGCCGACGTACAATTCGACAACATTCAGTACATGTACATCGGCAAGAACGAATCGATGCTGGAGGGTTTCGTTGGCTGCATCAGTCGAGTGGAGTTCGATGATCTGTACCCGTTGAAGCTCATGTTCCAGGAGAATCGACCGTCTAATGTGTGGGGAAACACAGGTGAGAGGATGGGGAGAAGGTAGAGTGGTGAGAGGTGACCCCTTGTGACCGAGAAGGTGGGACAATGGGATAATGAAGGGAGGGGTGGGAGAAGGGAGAGTGGGAATAGTGAGTCATTCGGGAACGCGAAGTAAAAGTTAACAAGGTGGAATAGGAGTCGCCTCAGCTTATGCGCAGTGCGCGTTATTACAGGTAATGTAGGAATCACTGTAATTAGTAAAGATGAAAGAAAGTTGCACTATGTAGTATGTATAGCTTATTTTCCACAAATAAATAAATAATTTTTCGGTCCTCAGTTTTCAGTCCTCATTCCAACGCTCCACCACACACATGGACCGCCACCCGACACCCGAGCGCCGGTCTGGCTCCCCCGGTATGCGGAACAGACTTCCGTGGACCTTTGTATACCCCCTGTGTCGTCTCATCTTTCACCACTAGGGCCGCTGCCGCTCAGTTCGTATGGACCCCCGCCGTGTGCCTGACATGTTTGGCATCTAATCTCCGCGACAGTCGAACCTCGACGCATCCTGACAGCCTCCCGTCCCCGTCCGTTCCCTCACAGACCCTCTCCTGTCGACAGTGGTAATTCACGAAATCCAGCGATCTTTGACACCTATCTGCCTGCCTCCTCCCCCTGTCGATAGCTGTGGTAGGTCATGAATTCCGACGATTTTAGACACATGTTTATCCCCCTGCCCGCCTCCGCTCTTCCCCTCCGCTATCGACAATGACAATCACCAATCCCAACGATTTTAGACACCCGTCCCTTCCTCCCTCACCCTCTCATATGGGTACGGGGACCAGCAGTTGCTACTGTACACGAACCCCAAGTCTAACCGTCTGTCCTGTCCAGTAACAACCGATAACATTGATATCGACTGCTGGTCCCTGTACAAGAGCAGCTGAGGTTTCCTGTGAGTACCCTCTGACAGCTTATCGTTGTTCCCTGTGAGGGTGCTGGGACAATTTACTCAGGGTCGCTGTACAGTAGCAACTGCGGGTCCCTGTACAGCGACGACCCACGAATTCTGACCGAGGCGGTAGGACACGCATCTTGTCTCCCCCTCACGCTCCCTCTCCCGTCGCCCGTCGACAGCGACGATCCACGAGGATTACTGCGGTATCGAGCCGGTGCGTCACCCGGAGGAACAGACCGAGACCCGGCCGCCACCTGAGGTCGACGAGGACATCGTCAGCTCGCTCTACAACGACATCAACGCCGCCGTGCTCGGGGGTGAGGGGAGAGGGGGAGGGAAGGAGGTGTGGAGTGGGATGGGAGATGAGATTGGGGACGGAGAGATGAGGGTCTTGAATTACAGGGTGGGGCAGCATAATCGGGAATAAATATCAAACGGGATTATTTGGTCATGAATCTAAAAATATAGCTCCAAGCACTATTTTAGCAACATCCTATCAATCGGTCACCTTTTACCTATCCCTCATCCTATTTGACCGCCCTCGGCGTCGATGACCTTCTCAAGGCGGGTCCAAAAGCACGCGCATGCACGTGCAACCTCCTGCTTGTCCATGATCGCCCATCAGCTTCGTACCTTGCACTGAAGACTGTTTTTACTGATGATAAGTTGTTCATTAAACTTCTACCAAAAAACGCTCCATGTAAAGAATTTGGTCGGATTTAAATCGGCGGAGTTGAAGGACCAGAAGTTTTTGGTTCATCTCAGGTGGAGGTGCCCTACACAATAACATGTCGTCCTCACTGCAGTACCAGCACGGACAGAGTCCTCGTAAGACGTGATTTGGACCGTCAGTGATCCTCTCTTCCGACGGCTCCACGTGAGTCTGCCAGAGTGCGGTTGTATTTACCAGAGGTGCTCATTTTATCCGGGCTCGATGAAGTAGGGTGCACCACGTGCACCTCCCTTGAAGACCACCCATAGGTCCATCACCCCAACAGGATGTTTACTTTGCATGACCGCTGGAATATTCTCGATACAATCCCCTATATGGCATGCCATTCTTTTTTATCGTATTCCAGTCGGTGATAAGATTTTTTGTCGCTGAAGTTTTGAACATTGTTTCTTTTTAATATGCTCAAGTGCTTCTTCCTTATATTCAAGTGAGTCATCTTGTATGTCCTCTGCTAAGAGTTATTTTACGACGATTACGTTAACCTGTTGTCCTAAGTATCCCCACACAATCCTTATCGTCCGTGATAACACGTTGACCTGCCCAGCAACCTTTACGTGGAATTGCAGGGTTTTAAACAAAATGTTCTTGTTTTACTTGTTTAACATTAGTGTCTATGGGCGCGCGCAAAGCACTTGGAGCACCGTCGAACTATTTTGCTGCTCTTTTCCAGGAAGTTGCATGCTCATGGATGTAGTCATGTCAGATGATGCACAACTTTTGGGCGTTTCATTGCCATAATATAATTTATAAAAATAATGCCATGCCTACTCATGATCAGAGCCCAAAAAGCATTCCCGATTATGCTGCCCCACCCTGTAGATATGCGTTGAAGAAAATCCCGTTTATTCCACATTCGTATGGGAGTAACTTTATAGAGCCTGAAAGATGAGAGTAAAAACATTATCTCATTCTGTTATAACTAAACCGTTTATTTATTTGCTATCATTATCATTTTAGCACCTGCATTGGAAATCTCAATGTGGGAACTTCATTTCTCGTCACCAATTCACAATGCCTTTCGTTTCCATTATACCGTGACTCTTCAGTCTTCACACCCGAACACTCACCTCCGCGCCCCTTCCTCTTACAGGAGTGCTGGCTGTCGTTCTGATCGCCCTGATCATCATGGGTGTCCTCATCGCGCGCTACGCCAACCGCCACAAGGGCGACTACCTGACGCGCGAGGACTCGGGTGCTGACGGCGCCGAGGACGCGGATGACGCTGTTACACAGGGACGCACCGGCCACCACGTGGAGAAGATGAAGGAGTTCTTCATCTAGGGTCGCTTCGAGGACGCTTAGGGGGTCTTCGTCAAGAGTCACCTGAGGACTACGTTCGCGAGAGAGACGTTTGGGATTGGTTTGGGAAGGTTGATGCTTCTGCGTTTATGGAAGAGTGAGAGGGACGTTGGAGAAAAATGGAGAAGTGGTAGCATGAGTGTGGCGTGAAGAACACTTTATGAAGTGCATATTGATTGGTGCGGTTAGTGTTGTCGATCGTGGTTACAATAAGCAAAGAACAAAGCTTGCTTTAAGTGACTGTTGTAAGATTAGTGAGAGATTGGCTCGAGATCTGAAGAATGCACAGTCGTATTACGTCGATCAAGGCCTCGATCTATAAGATGATGGACTCAATCACACGGCCGGTATACCGCCTCTAAAGCTCGGTCTGCTATGGATCTGACCTGTAATTTCTGAGTTTGTATGGTGTCAATGCTTCCGCGTGTTCCGTCGTTTCGCCCTGTTCGGTTGCGTGGATAAGTGATGTACCTTTCCGTCCTGCTCGTACGACCGCCTCCGTTCCCGCAGTGTGATCTATTGTACGCACGCACGCGACACTTGCTTATCTCACACATATTTACACGTTATGTTACACTTTTATTTTCATCCCACACTATGTGTTTAATTGTAAGACTTGAACAGTTTTCTGTTCACATCGTGAACTGTTGCATGTCTGTCTGTGTGTTCAATTGCCTTATTTCACCGTGAGTGTAAGAGTGTGTGCGCTTGTTGCCTGTTGGGCTCGATCACTAGCGTCACTCCATTTCCATCAGATTACAAAGTGACCCACCCCGCGGGTCTGCAATACTTCTAAGGCTGCCTTCCTGTCGCTTGCATCGCGCCAGATATCCCCAAAACTGCCAGACGGGGAACCATTGGCGGTGAGGGCCGGGTGGAACTTGAGGAATGGCATCAGAACGATTTAGAATTTTATAGTGCCAAGAGAAGAATCTCAGAAAATTGTACAAAATCAATAGGTATTCCCATCACATAAACGTTCACGAACTGAAGAAGAAAAAGCATTTTTTGCGAACAATTAAGGCAACTTGTTCTCCAAAAAGTACCTTCTTGGGTGCACTGACCCGGTTCCAGTGTTTTCTGGAATAGCGTGCGGTGGAATATGGTGGACCTGTGTGGCCTGTAACATTGACAATAAGACTTGTCCTCGTATGTGTGTTTTGTGACGCCGAGTGACAAGCAGAGATGTGAGCTGTTGCTTCAATCATGTGGAGTCTCGCTGTCAATGAGCGACGTTCCAACAACCACGCCTTAGACAATTGACGTAATCGTGTTCGCTGTAGCTCTGTCATCAAGTTCTATCATCTTTCTCCATCGGCCTGTATTGGGTAGAAGTCTGATAGGAATAGTGTTCCCACTAGTACGGCGTTCTTTAGTGCGTCTGGGGTCGCCCGTCGCACTACAGTGTCTCTGGTAGTGCTCTAGTGTTCGGTATAGTGTCTCCTGCTGAGAGTAGTTCTTCCAGCGTGCCGGCAGATAGCGTTTGGAAGCTTGTGAAGTGCCACATGCATGCGAGGCGTACCTATTTGGAGACGACTTTTTACAGACACTAACGAACTGGTTGAGGCGATGGAATTTGTTACGCAACTATTTGGAAGGCAGAATTTAGCTCTTTAGGGTCGAACCGGTGAAGTGTGAAATTAATGACGTTTATTGTTACGATTGCACGATATGGCAGCTAATTAGATTCGCCTAGGCAGCTAAATAGATCTAGACGGAGGTGCAGTAACTTCTGAATAAAACAAATGCGTCGTTCATATGTCAATAAAGTGTCACCTGTTGATCCGCGTGTATGGTGAATCGTGGGTCATTCAGCATACTGCATGGTTTGAAGGCCGTTGTGAAATTAATGACCAAATGAATCTCTGTGGTCCTTGATACGAATGTCTATAAATAATTAATGTGAATCATGAGACCATCCTTATCTCTACGGCTAATTAGATAATCTGATGAGGCATCCGTTCTCCTCGAATGCTCAATTGTCATGCAGTACAAAACTAAGCTGAAGAGAGGCCTCCGACCACAAAACAGTCAAACAGTGGTCGTAACATTTACAGACCAAGTTACAGACTTCACGTGGGTACTGACGGAACGTTCCAGGGCCCCTGTCGCCGTATTTGCACAGGCTGGCTTTGTTCGGTCGGAGCCGCGGTAACGGCAGGTGCTGTGACTGTGTGTGCCGGGCACTCTGTGGGACGGGGAGGGGGAGGGTCACCGGTGGTAATGGAAGGACCCTGAGCGGGGAGGGGACGCAGCATTTGAAACCGCCGGCCGGTCGGTCGGTCGGCCGGGTTGTTTTCGCGGTTCTCGGCCGGGTGGAAGGTATAGGTTTACCTGGGGTCGGGAGGTGAGGGGGGGGGGGGGTGAGGCCGGTTCCGGCTCACTGGTTAGTGTGCTGATGGTATGCTGGCCGCAGTGCTGCGTCCGGTCCTTTAGGCTGTCCGAATTTTCAGGGGCGGGACCGATGCGACTGGGCGCAGTAGGTGCCCATCACGGCCACTCTTATTCATGGTCACTCAGGATTGCTCTAATGACATTCGTACTCCTCTAGTTTATATTATCATACCAATACATAAGTTAGAAATGAATTTGCCTACTTACCTACTCGTTATTACCTCACACGATTGTTTCGAGGCTGAGGAAAAAAGTTTTAGACGGCCACTGCAAGCTAGGTCTAGACTACCTAAGCATGTCGAAGTGTCGTACCACCTTTAGCCCCCCTCCCCCCTTCACCACCCCAGCACCAACCCACGCCCGCACAATACATCTGCGAGGGCGTCGGCGGTGACTCAGCCCTCTGTGCCTGATGACGTCACCACCGTCGGCCGGTCGCCGCCCGGCTCCATTCGCGCTCTGCAGTATCGGCGACTCGCTGAGTGCATCGCAAGCGGCGGGGGGTGGGCTGACGCCGGCATCGGCGAGACACACCCTGCTAACGTCTGGAAGACTCCATCGTGTGGTCTTAACTCAGGAGTTTGCCGATGGTTTGGCTGGTGGCAGATAAGACACATCTGGATGTCGATTGGTCTACTGTTGACTACCGCCCGGCAAAACAGCTGTCCACTGTCCACCCATGACTGCTCGACGCGACAGCTGTTCAGCTCATGGCTTCATCCGACCGACCAGTTGCCGGGGCGAGTCTTCAGACGATGACTCAGACTCCGGTTTGTGATGACTCGCAGAATCGACTCGGCGCTCGGTGAGTCATGGCTGGCGACTCTGACCGACTCTCCCGTGGTGCTCAGAGTGAGTCTGTTTGCCTCACCGCGCCGGGGTGCCTGTGTGAATAGTTATGGTTTGAACTTTGAAGCCGTGTATTATTGGCTTAGGCATTAGCTCAATAGCCATTGAATTTTAAATTATACAGCTAAGAATGCCCTGATATTTAGCTTCTTTATAAAAGCATGACTCAGAGAAAGTGCGGATGAAATTACCTTTTTGAGCTTCAGTTTCATCGCCACAGTTCAGTATCATCTACCTTTCACAAAATGAGCCCACCCCACCCATCTATTACCGCCATCGCCACAGCAGAACATTCACACCTGTTCCCATCATCGGCCTTTCCCAGAACTGGCGTGTGACTGTTCTGTGTCGGAACGGTTATGTGCGTCACAGCCGCCCACAGCTGTTTCGTCATCTATGTAGGTTCCGAGGCGAGCGAATGCACCTCGATGACTCGATGTTTTCGGCGGCACGACTCCCACTTATCGGGCGAAGCTGCCAGTGACGTGGCCAGAGTCGTTCGGCGTGCCTCTCCGACACGGGCAAAACAGCCGAGATAGCCGCTGACGGTCACGTGACCGGTGACCGACACCTTTCGACACTCACCTTTGACCTCTGGCCGGTCGGACCGAGTGTGTGGCTTCAGGAGAGGATGTGACTGAAGTCTGAACCATGCCGTGTGGTCGGGAGCAAGCAAGTAAGTAACGCCATTAAATATTGCAAGTAACGCGAGGTAAGTGTCATTTAAAGTTGCACCGAAGTCTTAAATTTATTTGTCTCGTGACTCACGAATGTGACCCGGTGAGTATGACATGACCCATGATGACCATGGTCGGTCAATGGTTTAGGACTACAAATGCTCCTGCAAACGGCACTTAAAAGCATCAGCATGGCCATTGGCCGTTTGAATTTCTAACATAGGCATATGAAATGACCTATGTCCTTCGCCAGTCATCCGTAACCACCTTTCTTACTTCAGCTGCGGTCTGACCTGGTTCGGGACAGGGGTGCCACCAATACAATACTCCCTCCTGCCCCACTGTCATCCTCCAGCGCCGGATATCGTTAGTCTAGCCAGCGAAGCCGACACCCAGTCCAACCATGCGTGGCCGGCCGGGCGACTGCGATCATGCGTAACATTCAACCACAATGGACAAACGCTGGTCGCCGGCCGGGCGCCCGCGCCGGCCGGCCCGCAGGAAACGACTACGTTCCGAGAGAGGCGATTGCTCGGTCTGGGGAACGGTGAGAACGGTTTCTCAAGATGCATGGAGTTACAAATGACAGTTCGTTGTCGCCATTGACTTTTGAGCAAGCAGAGCGGATTTGCCCAATTTCTGCAATCGACAAAATAGATTGCTCCGGGGTATTCGCAAATACAGTGTAATTTATAAGACATTTAATTTTAAATTTATATACATTAAACACTGCAATTTTGTATGCGCTTGCTTTCTGCGCTGACATCTGTTGTAATATTTCCGAGTAAAAGTTCGGCTGGCAGTCTCAAATGAGTCACGAGCTACCAGAAGCGACTCAACATCCCGTATTCATAAACTTTCTAACAGCGCGGCGCACCTTGAAACACCCATCGAGCCCGCTGGGTGGGTGGAGGACGGTGCTGGACGACCCTCCCTCTCTCCACTCCACCTCCCTCTCTGAGTCGGCTCTCTCCACTCCACCTCCCTCTCTGAGTCGCCTCTCTCCACTCCACCCCTCTCTCTAGTCGCCTCTCTCCGGCGCGGCTCCGCCGTTCCGCCGCGCCGGTCGCGCCCCTCTCTCTTGCACTGACGTCACGCTCGCTCAGCGGGGGAGGATGACGTCACCGTCTAGGAGCGCCGGTCGCTCGCTCGTGCCCTGCGGCGACGCCGCGGGTTACGCCTCAGGCGGCGAGGTAGCGTTTGGAGCGCTACGGTCCACGAGGCGGGCCGGCCGCAACGCTTACCTCACGGCCTCTATGGCGGGCACTTAGCGACATCACAAGGAGAAAGCATGGGAGACGGGCCGATTGTGGGGTGAGCGCACGAGCAGGTAATTTGTCTGTCATCCGCAGGCCATGTTTTTGGGCCGCTGTCAGTCAGGCCTGACCCGGGGAGGCCTCTGAATTGGGTGGCCCACGATTGAGTCCGGTTTTTTGTCGCTTTTTCAGCACATGTCCTGATTCGAATCCGCCATAAAACCGCCTCGTAGAGTGGCTGTGTTCCGTGCTGTGGCGTTGCCCTGCATCCGTCCGATAACAGCATAATTGGGACGCAGGTCGGGCGATAAAAGTGCACGGTGCGTGTGCAGTCTGGTGAGCTCGCCTCGATGCTCCGTGTCACGGAATTCGATGCGGATGTTTGGGTCGGTGCGGCTGAAAATGGCTTCGCGATTGGTAATATGAATTATTAACAGGATTTAATTTCTAATACTAATGAGGGAGCCCTGCCGATATAGGAAAATGGTGTGAAATCCAGTCAATGGGTACGTTGGATACATTGTCGTCCTGTTGCGCTCAAAGAACCCTACTGGTATTCCTTTGCATGCGTTAGCGTGATGCAAGCATCCGCTTCCTGCATGCAATTGCTTTTGCGCCGCTGTAACTGTCATCGCTCAATTGCCTACAATCCCGCATATCTAATCCAACCGAGGCATATGATTTTCTCGCAGAGAACAGCTTCATAAACCCTGGGATTTTGGCCAGGTGTTCTCGGGCCAGACAGACGCGAAAGCGCCTGCTAACGGTCCATTGAAAACCGGTTTTAAATAATCTCTCATGTGCCATTTTCCTGCTGGAGAATCGACTGCATTTACTGTTAGCTCGGATGGCGATCTCGCTCTGTCTGAGGTTTAGAGAGCACATTAAATCAAATTTAGCACTAAAATTTGGTAGGTTTTACGTGTCAGGTATGGCATATTATTCGAAACATTCGACTCAATGAGAAGGGACCGAGTATGGTTTGCGGCTTACTGTGGCCCATTTCCACTGAACTCTCAACTACGCCGGGACCCGAGGATCCGACACTGGAGGACCCGACCCCAACCCGTGCGTCCCTCTGTGACGTCACAGCCGCCACGGGGCGACAGCTGGCGGTCGGGTTCGGTCGGCCGCGTCCCCTCGCCGGTCGGCAGCTGCCACCTCTTCAACCCCTCCCTCCCTCCCCTTCCCTCCGCCCTCGGGTCCCTCATGACAGGGGTCGTTCCAGGAACCCGCCCAAACCGACGAACAAGGCCGTCCGTCCGCGGCCCCCGCGGCTGGCGCACCCTTCCCTGTTCCCGACTGGGCCAGTGTGCCCTCCTCCCTCCCCCTCCCCGCCCCGCTCCCGTGCCTACCTCTACCACTGCCCATTCAGCTCTTTGTCCGTATGCGGCGCTTGGACGATCCCATAGACGCAGACCGAGTATACAAACGAGCGGTAAAGCCCTATCCAGCAGCCGGGCGGGCCGGGCCCCGGGCCCCGGCAAGGCAACAGAGGCACATTGAACATGGAATAAGAGGAAACAAGAAATATAGGTAGGTGTTTCTTATTCAATCCATGCTCACACAGGCTGGTAGCAGTTAGCACCAGGCTGCTGATGATTGTC